GCCGGGGGAAAACGGGCTTCTCCTGCACACTCTGTCCTCTCTTCCTGAGCATGAGAAGTAAGGGCACAGACCTCCTCCCGGCCTGCTGGGCACACAACATGCAAGGGAAGTAGCACAGAAGCGTACAAAGAGCCCACTCTGAAAGCTGCCCAGCGGGGCCCGCTCCAGCATGTTCCTGTCAGGTTTTCACGGCTGTGTGGGGAGGCCTGTGTTACCGTGTTGCATGCTTTTCTGGTTGGTTTTCAGGGCTGTCTTTAAGGCTACTAAATCAGAAAGGCCAAGTTGAAATCACTAGGGGTTGAAATCAAGCGGCTTTTGCAATATGAACAATGGGGTCAGAAGGAGGCAGCCAGGAGAAAAAGCCAAGTGCAAGGTGCCCCTGCCCCGTCCCTGATGCCTGCTGTGGGCACAGGCAAGAGGGGAGAGGTGCTTGTTCGGCATGCTGGGGACTAGGAGGGTGCCATCGGAGCCTGCAGCCTCCCCGAACTGGAAACTTCTAGCCTCTTCCCAGGTCCCACCCCAGAAACTGTTCCTAAACTGACTGAAAAGAAGGTAAATGAAGGTTATGAAATGTGGGGTCAAATAATGCCAGTTGGTGGGCCAGAGCTGGGACCTTCACTGGAGTGGGAGTGGTCAGTTTGACTTTTTTTTTTTTTTTTTTTTTGTATAGAAATGCCAAAGTGTTCATCTTCTCCGGAACATCAAAGAGATTTGCTATCTTTTAAAGGTGCACTAATGAGGAAATACAAATAGCCAAGAAAAATAAATAAAAATACCTCATTCGCGATTAAATAAATGAGAATGAAAACAATAAGGATATAGCTCTTTGCTCATCAGATGGGTTATGTTTAAAAAATCTTTGATAACGTCTCGGGCTATTGAAGGCTTACAAACAAGCATCCTAGCATCATCATACTGACAGCGTGCAATGATACAACCATCTCAGAGGACAATGTAACAAGGATACAATGTGTATCATTGTATATCAATGTGCACACTCTCAGACCCGGAATTTGCCTTCAATAATTTCTCTTCCCAGCAGTGCTTACTGCCTGCACAAGTCCGAATGCTTACTAACCAAATCAGTAATGTGTGTGTGTCTGTGTGTGATGTATTAGCACTATATGAAAGAGCCAAACCCCTACAGGTCTATTAATGAGAGAAGGGCTAACAAGAGCACAGCTGACTGCACAAAGTGGGTTTGTCTGTGGGTTTTTTTTTTTTTTTTTTTGTAGTCATCGGTCACGAAGTGGCTACATTTACATGTATTGATATGGAAAAACTGTAACTTGTTATTGTGTTCCCCAACAGTGAATTTGGCATAATGGTTTTACAACACGAACATTTGTGAATGTGTATGTATCTGTACTCACATACATATTCACCTGCGTAAGCCCAAACAATTTCTGTAAAAATGCAGAAGAAATATAAAAAAAACCCAAAAAACATAGTACCTCTGGGGAATGGGAATGAAGGTCAAGAAGTGGATTTTACTTTTCACTTGATGCACCTGAGTATGGCTTATCCTTTTTATTGTCATTGTTGCTACTCTTGTTGTTATAAAAGTAATCTATTTCTATAGGAAGAACTGAAAGCACTCCATAGGTCACCTACTGAGGCCTGATGAGAACTGAGGTCTCCATCCCAGCCCCTCAGCATTGTACCCACGCTCCCTCTATTCAGATGTTGCTAGGCAAGCCACTCAATATGCAAGTCAATTGGAGCACTGGAAAATGGGAAGTAGAATGGGATGTCCAGTTCTCACCCAAGACCAGAATTTGTGGGAAGGTGGTTATATAAAGTTGTGACTCTCCTCTGATTTTTATTTCAGCTTGTAAAATGCTAGTCTGTGGTTCATTTCAGCAAGAGTTTTTGGACAATCATTTTCACAGTTGATTAAAGGGCCAAGGTTGTTTCTCCCCAGTGAAAGAGATTAGTCCTTGTGCAAGTTGTCACAAGGTTACTTACTCATGCAAATAGACAATGAGCCCAGTAATTGTCCCCTGTTCCCTGTCCGTGTTAGCATGGATCACCACCAGTATGGAAATAGTCATGTCACTGACCAGGCCTTTCATTTCAGAAGTCAGAGGGAGGAGTGATAAAGGTCAAACCTGATACTGCAGGTTTTCTTGCAAGATGATACTTACACATGTGCATAGAGAACTCTGCATTCCTATGTAATTGCCATGTGAAGAATTCTGATCACAGTTACATTATTTTCCTCCAAAATCACATATACGTAACATGCAGTACACAATTTCAGGGAGTTAGTGAGGTTCTTAAACTTATCCATTAGCCCTCAGGACTCTGTAGACCCTATGGTTAAAGCCCTTCTTTAAGAAGACATGCTTACACAGGTAAGGTTATGTATTAAGTCAACAAATGGGTCAGTCTCTGAGCTTTGTTTGTACAAAGAATCAAAATAAAATGAGATATGGCTTTACACAAAGCTTTCAATCCAGCAGTTTAGTCAACATTTTCTAACTACATACATTACATACATATACAGAAATGCACCTATATTAGGTGAATCATTAGAATAGGTTTCCTTTTTATGGTTTTAATGCACTGGGCAGCAGTTTTAATGTACTGGGTGCATAGGATGCCTGAGTGCATGCACATTCATACATGCACACGATAGTCAAACAGTAAAATCTTTGTCTCTGGGATGAGGACCTGTCAGTTTGTCCTCAGTTAAATGCAGGGGCCAATAACAAATGCCACATCCAATAAACATGTTCAAAATTTTCCAATAATAATTCCTGTGATTGATGGTAATTGAGGTTGCTCTCCCCTGCCTGCCTCCCAAGGCAGAGAGGTAATGCAAGGAAGAATAACATCCTTGTCACAGTGTAAACTACAAGACATCCAGATCCCAGAGCACAGTGGCAGAAATGTCTATGGTAGTCATAGACTGTCGCAGAGCAAGGAAAAAAAAGCTCTTTCCAGAGCTTACCTGCCCTCAGCTATGGAGCTCTGGAGACTTCAGGTGAAGTAGAAATCAATTATAAAGTGTAATCTAGGGAAATGTGAAATGAGACTAAAACTGAACTTTGAATAACTTTGTAAACCACCCTATGGGGATGAGTCAAATAAGCTATTGAGGGCTTGTTCCTGTGTCAAAATAACAGAATTCCTGAATCCATTAAAATCAGAAAGTAATCACTTATCCAAAGTCAAAATATCGTATTATTTTGGCACATACTCTACAAGATGTATAAACAATGGGTTCCACAGACTTAAATTCTGTCCTGAATACTACTGAAGGGATAGAAATACAAGAAGGATCTCAATCAGAAAATAGAGAAGTGACATACAGACATTAGAATTCCTGGAGCAACTGACCACCAGCCTGGAACCTGGGTTTAATAAATACAGTCTCCACTACATATGCTAATACCTTACTACTCTGATCTCTCTGTGCTCTTTCCTTCTCTCCTCTTCCTCTCTGTTTCTTTGCCCTGGAGTCCTGGTTACCAAGTACCTTGAGAAAAAGGAAGAGGGAGAGGAAGGAAGAGAGAGAGAGAAAAAGATAAAGAGAGGGACTGGATATGATACTGAAAAAATCTCTTTTTTTAATACCCAGTCAGGTCAGGCATTATGCCTAGATCCTTTATTTCAATTGGTAGGTAATTTTTTTTTTCTGTTCTGTTTTGACAGGGATAACTTTTCAAATTAAATCCCTTTATTGAATTTTCACTCTTGGGTAGTTTCTGAAGATGCTGCCTTTGCAAAAAAGTAAAATAAAATAAATAAAATTAGAACTGATCTATTTCATGCCATGTGAAAGCTGAGCCCGAGATGACAGTTTGGCATTATCAACCTTCATGGCTGCAGGGAGCATAGGAATAATGTTGGGTGAAAGAAAACGTGCACATCAGGGAAAGTGACGGCCTTATTGTTTTCAGGATATGGGGTTATGTGCATTAGATGCCACAAGCCAGAAGTGGTATTATCCCCAAAAGCTTGAAAATGAAAGCAATCTGGGATGTTACCAATTCCATCCGGAGCTTCCTAAACAAGAGGTGCAGTCATGGGAGACAGACCCTAAAGCTCTTTCATTAGTTTTTCATTGTAGGACTTTGTTACTTTAAATGTGTTCCGCTGACCAGCAGCCTGGGCTTCGTCTGGGAACTTATTAGGAATGCAGACTCTTGAGCCCCTGTTGAATCAGAATCCACATTTTAACAAGATCCCTCGTTGGGCCATATTATGTTCAGATTTGAGGTGCAATGCCCTAAAATTTTCCAACTTAGTAAGTGACTTGGTCACCCTGACAATTGGTCAACTATGTATTCACTCACTCAACTAATATTTACTAAGCCCCATCTACATGTTGACAATGTGGCATGTGCTGGAGACGTGATATTGACTGAAGATGCACACGGCCCCTCCTATCCTAGAACCCAGAGGCCAATTCATTGTAATTAATCACTATGGATGGTTCAGACGTAAACATCCATTTCTACTTTTTTAGCTTTTTATTTTGAAATAATTTTAGGCTCACATAAAAGTTGCAAAAACTAGTATAGAGAGTTGCCCTGTACCCTTCTCTTGGCTTCCCCCAAAGATAACATCCAGTATAACCACAGAATGAAAGCAAATAAAATATGAAATTTGTTTAGAATGGGAGTTCAAGAAAGACTCTCCTAAGAAATGGATGCCTTCTCTGGTTCTGATATTATTCTATGGTTTTTTTGAAACTATATCTGTTAAAATAAGGAAACCGGAAAAACAAATCAAAACAAAACAGCGGCAAAAACATAATCATAACAATAACTACAAAAACACTTCAGAAATAAGAAACGGGGGCATTTCCTCATTACCTGGAAAGGAAAACACCTTGGCTGGATGAGAGATGTTGGAAATTGTTAAGACAACTCTGGATTACTAAGGACTTGAACTATTGCTGCTATGTTTCCCTAGACACAGACTCGGCTCATGGCAGATTGGGAAAACTAGTATTACTATGAACATCATGGAGAAGACGAATTACTTACGACCATCTACAGTTCTGGCCTCGAGATGCACAAGATCTGGTTCCTTATTTGACCCCATCACAGACCTAAAAAAAAAAAAAAAAGGAGAAACAGGAAAAGGAAGACCAACATTAATGACTTCACATGTGCCTCAGAGAAACTCAGTGGAGTCCAGGGACTACTGAGGTTCACAGGATTTAAACACCACAATCCTTGGAATATATCTGCTGTATTTATTTATATAGCCTGACAGTAAAATTTCCACTTCAAATAAAAGCTATAATGAAATCTTTATTTGATGAAGGCCAGGCTTAACTCTGATGAGGATATTGCGTGTTATTAGCTCCGACCTGCAAATAAGTCCTACACATGGCCTGGATGTCCTCCTGTGACAATCTCACTAACAATATGTTAGACTTCCAAGACACACCAGGCAAATTCCAGGCAGGCTACTTTAGCTGGGTTGCTTGAAAAGTGATTTCCATAGCAAACTGATCTAATTAATTTTTTCATTTGAAATTAGCAGAACTAGGTCCCCCTATCCTACGCACTATGAACATATCATGTGACCCCACCCGATGCAGGGGCCAGTATGGCACAGAGGGACCACGCTCTGTATCGCTGAACCAGTGTGAGAGGAAAATGCAAATGCACCACACTTCACGGCAGGTGCTTGAAACCGTATGTGTAAGTAAAATAAAATAAAAGCAAAATAAAAGTCTATTTAAAATGCCTTGGAGGCACCTATTATCTAGCATAATCTTTTAGTAAGCCTTATTAAGTAGAAAATAATTATTCTGTTACCTGAGCTATAATAGATAGTCAAATGTTGAATGAAAGAAGGAAGGAAATGAACGGAGGGAGGGAATATATAATGGTCTGTAAGTTCTTTGAAATAAGTAAATTAATCATTGTCCTAAGGGCATTCCCAGAACTCTTCTTATTTGAACTCATTTTCTGAGCTCAAAGAGTCTGAGGCATAGCTAGCTTAGTCTCTCTTCATCTTAAGAAGTCCCCTAAAGGCCCAATTATCACTGTCAGCAACTTTTTTCTGATTGATACATGGCCTGAAATTCAGAGTCTATGCTCAAAACACTACACCCTGCTTTCTTCTCTCCGACAGCCGAAAAGTTCTAATAAGGGTTTGATAATTTTCCCCAAAGAGCCAGAGGACACACACTGGGACACTCCACATCCTTGGAATCTGAATGCGGGCAGTCGGTGATAATCTGAACCATCACTTCAGTTGCTGGTCCAGGGAGGGTGGCTCTCCATTTCTCACACTGAAGCCCTGACTGGATCCACAGGCGACCTCTTCTGACGAGGCCACAGTCAGGAGATTAAGAAAAAAAAAACAAGCTCCTTAAAAGCCTTCCAGCTAGAAATCTCAGCAGCTAACTGGTTTTTATAAATTATTAGTGGGTAGTTCCGTGCTGTTCACCTCCCACTATGCCGGCTACCCTGAGTTTCTTCCTTGAAATGACTAGTACCTGTGATTCCCAGAAGGCTGGCATCGCAGAAACACAATGGTAAAAACTAGCACGCAGACCTGTCTGCTTGGCTCATGGTGAGTGTCAGTGCGAGATGAAATAAGTACCCTGCATCCAGTTGCATCTTTCCATGTGCTCATGGCCCCAAATCAATAAGAGCAGTTGTCTCTTAAGATCTTTTGTTATTTCTAAAAGAATTAACAAGATTGATAAACCCCTGGCCAGACTTATCAAAAAGAAAAGAGAGGGCGCCTGGGTGGATCAGATGGTTAAGCATCTGCCTTCGGCTCAGGTTATGATCCCAGGGTCCTGGATCGAGTCCTGCATCGGGCTCCCTGCTAGGTGGGGAGCCTGCTTCTCCCTCTGCCTCTGCCTCTCTCTCTCTCTGACTTTCATGAAAAAATAAATAAAACATTAAAAAAAAAAAAAAAAGAAAAGAGAAATGACCCAAATCAACAAAATCATGAATGAAAGAGGAGAGATCACAACCAACACCAAAGAAATACAAACAATTATAAGAACATATTAGGAGCAATTCTATGCCAGCAAATTAGATAACCTGGAAGAAATGGATGCATTCCTAGAGATGTATCAACTACGAAAACTGAACCAGGAAGAAACAGAAAACCTGAACAGACCTATAACCACTAAGGAAATTGAAGCAGTCATCAAAAATCTCCCAAAAAACAAAGCCCAGGGCCAGATGGCTTCCCAGGGGAATTCTACCAAACATTTCAAGAAGAATTAATACCTATTCTTCTGAAACTGTTCCAAAAAATAGAAATGGAAGGAAAACTTCCAAACTCGTTTTATGAGGCCCCCATTACCTTGATCCCCAAACCAGACAAAGACCCCATCAAAAAGGAGAATTACAGACCAATATCCCTGATGAACATGGATGCAAAAATTCTCACCAAAATACTAGCCAGTAGGATCCAACAGTACATTAAAAGGATTATTCACCAAAAAAAAAAAAAAAAAAAAAAAAAAAAAAGGATTATTCACCACAACCAAGTGGGATTTATCCCTGGGCTGCAAAGTTGGTTCAACATCCACAAATCAATCAATGTGATACAATACATAAATAAAAGAAAGAACAAGAACCATATGATCCTCTCAATAGATGCAGAAAAAGCATTTGACAAAGTACAGCATCCTTTCTTGATCAAAACTCTTCAGAGTATAGGGATGGATGGTACATACCTCAATATCATAAAAGCCATCTATGAAAAACCTACAGCGAATATCATTCTCAATGGGGAAAAACTGAGAGCTTTCCCCCTAAGGTCAGGAACGCGGCAGGGATGTCCACTGTCACCACTGCTATTCAACCTAGTATTAGAAGTCCTAGCCACAGCAATCAGACAACAAAAAGAAATAAAAGGCATCCAAATCGGCAAAGAAGAAGTCAAACTCTCACTCTTTGCAGATGATATGATACTTTATGTGGAAAACCCAAAGGACTCCACCAGAAATCAGTGGCATTCCTATACATGAACAACAAGACAGAAGAAAGAGAAATTAAGGAGTTGATCCCATTTACAATTGCATGCAAAATCCTAAGATACCTAGGAATAAATCTAACCAAAGAGGCAAAGAATCTGTACTCAGAAAACTATAAAATACTCATGAAAGTAATTGAGGAAGACACAAAGAAATGGAAAAACGTTCCATGCTCATGGATTGGAAGAACAAATACTGTGAAGATGTCAATGCTACCTAGAGCAATCTACACATTCAATGCAATCCCCATCAAAATACCATTGACTTTTTTCGAAGAAGTGGAACAAATAATCCTAAAATTTGTATGGAATCAAAAAAGACCCGAATAGCCAGAGGAATGTTGAAAAAGAAAAGCAAAGCCGGCGGCATCACAATTCTGGATTTCCAGCTCTATTACAAAGCTGTCATCACCAAGACAGTATGGTACTGGTAGAAAAACAGACACATAGATCAATGGAACAGAATAGAGAGCTCAGAAATGGACCCTCAACTCTATGGTCAACTAATCTTTTTTTTTTTTTTTTTTAAGATTTTATTTATTTATTTGAGAGAGAGAGAATGAGAGACAGAGAACACATGAGAGGAGATAGGGTCAGAGGACGAAGCAGACTCCCCGCCGAGCAGGGAGCCCGATGCGGGACTCGATCCCGGGACTCCGGGATCATGACCTGAGCCGAAGGCAGTCGCCTAACCAACTGAGCCACCCAGGCGCCCCAGGTCAACTAATCTTTGACAAAGCAGGAAAGAATGTCCAATGGAAGAAAGACAGTCTCTTCAACAAATGGTGTTGGGGAAATTGGACAGCCACATATAGAAGAATGAAACTGGACCATTTCCTTACACCACACACAAAAATAGACTCAAAATGGTTGAAAGACCTCAATGTGAGATGGGAGTCCATTAAAATCCTAAAGGACAACACAGGCAGCAACCTCTTTGACCTCAGCCACAGCAACTTCTTCCTAGAAACATCGCCAAAGGCAAGGGAAGCAAGGGCAAAAATGAACTACTGGGACCTCATCAAGATAAAAAGCTTTTGCACAGCAAAAGAAACAGTCAACAAAACCAAAAGACAACCAATAGAATGGGAGAAGATATTTGCAAATGACAAATCAGATAAAGGGCTCATATCCAAAAACTATAAAGAACTTCTTAAACTCAACACCCAAAGAACAAATGATCCAATCAAGAAATGGGCAGAAGACATGAACAGACATTTTTCCGAAGAAGACATCCAAATGGCCAACAGACACATGAAAAAGTTCTCAACATCGCTTGGCATCAAGGAAATCCAAATTAAACCCTCAATGAGATATCACCTCACACCAGTCAGAATGGCTAAAATTAACAGGTCAGGAAACGACAGATGTTGGCGGGGATGCGGAGAAAGGGGAACCCTCATACACTGTTGGTGGGAATGCAAGCTGGTGTAACCACTCTGGAAAACAGTATGGAGGTTCCTCAAAAAGTTGAAAATAGAGCTACCATATGATCCAGCAATTGCTCTACTGGATATTTATCCCAAAGATACAAATGTAGGGATCCGAAGGGGTACATGTACCCCAATGTTTATAGCAGCAATGTCCACAATAGCCAAACTGTGGAAAGAGCCAAGATGTCCATCGACAGATGAATGGATGAAGAAGAAGTGGTATATATATATACAATGGAATATTATGCAGCCATCAAAAGGAATGAGATCTTGCCATTTCCAACGACGTGGATGGAACTGGAGGGTGTTATGCTGAGCGAAATAAGTCAATCAGAGAAAGACATGTATCATATGACCTCACTGATATGAGGAATTCTTAATCTCAGAAAACAAACAGAGGGTTGCTGGAGTGGTGGGGGGTGGGAGGGATGGGGTGACTCGGTGATAGACACTGGGGAGGGTATGTGCTATGGTGAGCAGTGTGAATTGTGCAAGACTGTTGAATCACAGATCCGTACCTCTGAAACAAATAATGCAATACATGTTAAGAAAGAAAAAAGAAGAAGAAGATAGCAGGAGGGGAAGAATGAAGGGGGGGAATTGGAGGGGGAGATGAACCATGAGAGACGATGTATTCTGGGAAACGAACTGAGGATTCTAG